CCATCCTTGGTTCTAAGGAGCACTCTGAATGTACTTCTTCCAAGACAGATTTGTTTGTTCTTTTGACAGTCTATGGAATTTTCAATAGTCTTCATCTCCCAAATCCAAGTGGTTAAATGCTTCTTCAGTCTTCCTTCTTCAATGCCCAACTTTCACATGTAGATAAGGCAATTAAAATAGCTTGGTTTGCGTCAAGCACACCATCGTCCTCAGAGTGGCATCCTTGCTCTTTCACCCTTTAAAGAGATCTTATCCAGATTGACCCAAAGTAAAGTGTCATTTGATTTACTGATGGGTATTGCCACAGGCATTGAATGTGGATAAAAGGAATATAAAATCCTTGACAACTTAAGTCTTTTGTTTGTTTGTCATGATGTTAACTATTGGTCCAGTTGTGAGGATCTTGGGTTTATTTACATTTGACATTGAGTTGTAATCCATATTGAAGGCTGTATTCATTATCTTCTTCAGCAAGTGCTTCAAGTCCTCCTGACTTTTAGCAATCAAGATAGTGTCCTCAGCATAGTGCTGATAAACTGCCCTCTGATCCTAATACTGTATTCTTCCTCATATAATCCAGCTTCTTGAATTATTTACTCAGCATAAAATTGAATACATATGCTTAGAAGGTATAACACACCTTTCCTGTTTTTTTAACCATGACTATTCCCTTGTTCTGTTTGCACAAGTATCCTTCATCCACGCACAGGCTTCACGTGAGCACAATGTATTCTGAAATTTCCAGTCTTCTTGAGGTTACCCATAGTTTGTGATGGTACACACTGTCAAATGGTGTTTTTTTTTCATAGTCAAATCTTTGCCTTCAGCCAAGATCTCTCTGACATTAGCAACAATATCTCGTACAAGTTCTTCTGAATCCTACTTGGATTCGTGACTTCTTTTTAATGTACTACAGCCATTGTTGAACGAGCTTCAGCAAAAGTATACTTGGTTTTCAAAAAGTACACAGAAAATATGTCATATAAGAAAAATTATGTATTTACTTTTTCCCTACCAAAATAAGCTCAAACTAACTCGCTATAACATGTCTTGTCAGGAGCTAGTTTGAGGCACAAGAAGGATAAGATATTAATTTGAAAAGAATTCATGTGAGTTATGAGTTAGCAGCATGAATTATGCTAAAATGGAAGCACGACCAAAGCATCAAATTTTTGTAGAAAGTTGGGAGGATGAATAGGGAAACCATTGTTACTTAACACAATGTCTTAGGAACAATTCTCCAAAGAAATCAGCAGTTTGCAAATGAATTACTCATTTTAAGAGGGGATGAGATGATGTTAAAATAAAACTCCCATTGGTGGGCCATCCACACAATTTGTTAGGAAACAATTCATCTTGCTAGTGCCCTGATTAAAGCGAACAAATGATTAATAACATAAACAACAGCAACACCATAGATATCTCTATGGATTCAGCTTACATTATCCTGGCTGGACATTTAAAGTTGAACAAACTTTTTGATCAAACGGTGTCAACATTTTTGTGCCCAGATCAGCAACAGAATGTTTAATGGAAAATTTAAACAAGTCGAATCAGGATCCTAAAACATTTCTTGGGGTCTAAGGAATGCACTCTGTTCTTGGCTCTCTTTATAGCCAGCCAAGGACAAAATTAACCAATCCACAAGATAGTGTTTCATACGCCTTATTTGCATGCCCCAACCTAACCATCTGATGGGAATTACAAAGACCATGGCTAGGAAACATCACATTAACTAATTCAACCATGCCACAACAGGATTAAACATGGTCAAGGTCAAGCATCAGCTATAGAATCTAGAGTTGAATTCTATTTTAAGTAGAAGATTAAGAGAAAAGTTTGGGCACTAAAAGTTATTTTGTGGATTTACTTCCTGAATTATGCTAATGATCTTTTAAATTGCATGACATTTTGCAATAAAAAATCGGAAGCAATTGAGGAATAATGTGGACGTAGGGGGGCATATTTTGCAGAATGGCAAATATTCAATGCAAACAGTGTGTAATTTAGCAATGATACTTCATGTATATAAAAAACATGTTTAGGATTTACAGCACACATTAG